TTTTTAATTTATTTGACCTTAGATCATAATATTACGCAAGTTTGTGGTAAAAAGCATGCCAAGTATTTGCACTTCTCATTTAATCATTTAATCAGACTGAAAGACTGCTTCAAATAGTTTTTGGTGCCAGTATCGTCTATTTGCTAAAGTGCCAAATTTAGTTCCTTATCTCTGTTTTGCTGCTTTGAGTCAGTGTGCAAAGTGAAATAATATAGTGTAAGCCTTTAGTCCAAGTTTTCTGTCAAACTAGATGCTAAAGATACAAAACAGGTGACAAGCTGAAGAAGTGTTAAACAAGGAAAGCCCTGACTCAGCAGTAACAGACTGCCTGCCGAGATGAAGAGATTATCACAGCAGCTATGTGTTGCTGTATAAATATTTGGGTTATGCACTCTCTGGAGCCTAACGTAGAAATGTTTTAATTCTTGTCCTGTGACATCAGGTGTTGTTAACCCTCGTGAAATCTAGCCATCTATCAATATTCTCAGTTATTATTTAACCTGACATTCTACCGTCAGCTCGAAAAGGTAGAACAAGGGGAGCGATATTTAAATTCCAATTTCTTTATACATCTGATAGGGGTGACAGATCATCCTGGAGATAGCCGCTTGAAAGAATTTATTTTCTCGATAGCCAGTGGATACTAAACATCTTTTTGTCCTTTTCAAGTGCAAGGTTATTGCGTCTAACATAATGTAATAGCTTGTGTCCTCATCGTGAAATATAATTCATAGAAATCATTTTCTTATACACGCGTCTGTTCTCACATGTCAACATGATGTGTACAAAAGAGTTATTTTAAAACAAATGTTCTTTTACTATGGGAAACGTGTCTAATAGTTTCCACGTACAACATGAGTATTTAGAAACATCATTAATTTTTTTATTGCTCATTTGTCCTTTCGTTTAATTGCCTTGAACGCTCTTGTGTTAGGTTATTGGTAGTTTATCGGAATTCATTCTAAGGCGTTCAACAATATGTTGCGCTTGTCTCTTGTGATTTTTTTTGTCACCCATTTACAGCTTTTCTCATTGCTCTGCTTTCACAGCTGGAAAACTGGGGCAATAAAAATCATTTAAAAAGTAACTAAATTAGTCAGGAAAATAAAAATAATAATAGTGCTTCTTGACGTCTCAAAGCGCTTCACAGAATATACTGCAAAGTGAATTGACTGTATGTTTGTGGGCGAAACTACGGTGGAAAAATCTACCTTATAGAGTATTTGTGTTCTTTTTAAAAAAAAGTTATTTCCACTTTTCTATCATTCTTTGCCTAAAGGAGACGTCTATGAACAATCCTCTCTAATAGCACTTTAAAAATGCAGGAGTGGCACAAGTACACAATGCAATAATACATTTGCATGGAACCTTCACATCGGGAGGACATCTCAAAGTGCTTAGTTCGATCTTTTCGGAGGTCATTGTGTGGGAATCCCGAGCGTGGAGTCTTGTTCAGTCATTAAGTGGCACAGTTTAATGGTGTAAAATTCGCCAGGCAGAAGTTACAAGCATCTTTGTAAGAAATAAGTGTTGAACTATTTAAACCTTGAATTATGAAGGTATCTAAGAAAATATTTTCTTTACTTAATAAAGAATTCTCCCAATTGAAATCAGATGTCACAGCAAGAATTTCAGTGACATGCATTACTGTAACCTACAGTATATTATATACTGTTGCACCTCAACACAGTATATTATATTGTGGAATATCATCCATCTCAAAGTCATAATAATGAGTTTGACTTCAACTCTTGTGCTTTATCATGTCAGTATCAATCGTGTTTGATATATCTTTTGTGCACTTTGTCTCCAAAATGATTGGCGCTTTTCATTTTCACATTTTCAAACTTTTCCCCAAAATGTTTCAGTTGTTTTATATTTTAAAACATCCGGTGAAAATTGTGGAGATGGATTATTTGGTTTGCAGTTGAAAATTAGATCAGGGAGAACATCAGAGAAAAATAACCATCCTATTCTTTTATGCTACCACCAGGAGCACAGCCACTTTACTGTGGTTGTACAGCAGTGTGAACTGAGAAGCTCAGTGCTTCACACACTTGGAATTGGATCCTTGGCCATTTTATTCTGTATTACTGAAGAGACACTCTCCCAATTAGCTGTTTAGAAGCATTACAAGAGACTGTTCAGAAGTCGTAGAACAACGAAGGACTTGCGACAGTGTAGGATTATCAACTGCTTCTCTGGAACTCGCTGGCTCAATCTCTCCTTTGTCTATCCCCTCTTTGCCCATCTTCAATCAAATCACACCTGGAGATTTTCCCTTTTGACCGTGTGTTCGGGCACCAGCCCTCTCTTTCCAGCTCGGCATCAAACCGCACCGTTAATAAGCGCTCCGAGATGCTACTCGCATGAATGGCGCTTTGTAACTTCCAAGTTGTTGTTGTCCCTGCTGCATTTATTCTATTGGTGTGCAAACTGCATTGCTCCTGAAACCTGTTTCCATATTTCGTGTCATGTAACCCACTGCAAAGAGTTGCATAGTTGTAGAGCTGCGATGGGGAATGTTGCATTCACTCCTCTGTATAATGAGCTTCAGGATCTACTAGCTTGTGCTACTTCCTATACCCTTCGACTCTCGGAGGAAGATGGTACATATCACATTACAGAGCAAGTTGTCATAATGCTGATTGGAGAGTGAAAGTGTATGTATGTCCAATATGTATATATTGTTGTTAGTCAATTTGCAGATCGCTTATCCGGGGGTAATAATTCCTTCAAAAGAAATATTTGTGGGAATTTGCTGTACGCAATTGGCTGCCGCGTTTCGCCCACAAAATATACAGTCATTTCACTTTACAGTATATTTTGTGTAGCACTTTGAGACGTCTCGAAGAGGTGGTAAGGTGCTATGTCAAATGTAAGGATTGTTATTATTATTGCTATATGGCCATGTCTTTCCTACGCACTAATATTTTTTTGCTGCACTGTATCAATAACAATAATGTGCATTTATATCACACTTTTCACATGAACACAGCTGATTAAGCACCAAAGCTGGGGATCTGGAGGTGGGGTGGTGGGGACATGACTGAAAGTGCGGTCAAAAAACTAGGTCCTTAAGTCTTTTGACCCCACTTTAAAGATGGGGAAGGAGGGGACGAAACGGAGGGATTCCGGGATGGAATTCCAGAGAGCCAGGATAGAATGGCTTTAAACTTGACCACCGATGGTGGGGCAGATCAGACATGGATATGAAGCAGAGCTTCAGTGTTAGCGGAGCAGAGAGTGGCTGAGGTAGTAAGGTCACAGCATGTCGGGTGGGGTGAGGCTGTGGAGGGATTTGAATGCAAGATTCAGTCACAGAATTTTTCTGTTATACGTTTCTGCATTGAGTATGTAGCAAAAATGACAACCACACAAATTATTTGAACATTTTCATTTACTTTTAAAAGGTTTCTATTACTATTATATTACTGTTCTTGCATGAGGGTTCACATTTCACTAAACCTCCATAATAACCAATTAAAACCAAACTACTCTACTTATCTAAAATGACTAGCAAATTTCCTGTTAGTAATGTTCATATCCACTACTTATATTACTCATAATTCTGATCCTAGCTTGAATTAATCATAAATCAAACTTGATTTGGTTGTGAAGATAACATGGTATTATTTTTACATAGTTATATATAATAATGTTTAACAACAAGTTTCATTACATCTCAAAACATGTTATCCCAGGAATTTTCAATGGGAATCATTCAGCCAAGTTTTAGCCTCATTCCTAAGAGAGAGAAAGAGTTACAGCTTAGTGTCCTGGATAAACCTGGGATTCAATTCAATCTCAGCAGGACTGCACTGGGATAAGTGTAGAGCGGAGAGTATGTTATCTTCCAACAGTGGAAGTAAACTTCTAGGTGGTCACCTCAAGCCATTTCTGCACCTCTCCTCGCAGCCAGTTTCTGATCAGTGTTGGTGGAAACTTAATACCCAACTTAACGTTCATCACTTAAGAACAGATGGAGCACAGAGAATGTGTATCACAAAATAGTACTCACGGATAACATTATACCACGTTTTGTACAAAGTTAGAAAAACGGTAATATTCAGTGTAAGTTAACAATGGGTTGCAAACCCAATGTTTGAGATGTTTTAAGATAGGAAATGAAATTTGCAATTCTCACGCACAACAGCAAGTTTATGCTTTCAAACCAGTGTTTATGTACTGATACTTTGGCTAATTTACAACAAATATATTAGGTGTAGAACAATATGTGATTTTCTTATTTCTGTCCACATATTTTACCTTTTATATATTACATGCATATTGTAAATTAAACGTTAACTACTGTGATTTGTTGTAAAGTGTCTATTGAATTGGTTAGGCACGTGAAAATTGAGAGGAGGCACGTTTGTTTTAGTCTTAAGTTGTGCGAACTGTGAGAGGACCAGTGTCACACATGTGGACTTACAAAACCTGTGCAGCTGTCTCCAGCAACTTTTTGTTTGATTGTTATTCATATTTTTACAAGTTTCTTCAGAGGGATTTGCTGTCAGGAAATAAGAGTCACTCTAACTCACAGCTGGAGTGTGTTGAAAGTATTGATTTAATTCTAAAAATTACTGAACAAGGATTACTTCTCTGGAGACTTTTTACAGTTTTGCTTTCTTACTTTATGATTGACCAATGTTGCTGAACTTCTCAACATGCTTTTTTAAATACCTTTTTAACCAAGGAATATATAATATATTAATAACTACGGCAATAAAAAAATCATCGGCCAAACAGTTGTAATTTGTTTTGTCTGCTTAGAAATGTAGGAAGGACGATATCTTTGCAATAGTCTAGGTTTAGCATTTTGTGTTTAGTGACAAGCTCACAAGACAACTCAGCACACAGCAACTTCCACCAGTCCATATGTCACATTTTACATTGACGTACAGTGCGGTTTGTTAATTTATTGGTAAATTTGCCCTGTTTTCAAAAGTTATGACTCCCCCAAATAGTGTCAGTTTAAAGGAAACTGAAAAACTTACCTTCTGCAGCCACTGTGTGTTGTTTTCCATTATATTTTCAAGTTGTTGAAGCCTTTGCATAGACCCTTCATTATCTGTTTCTGGAGCGTCCCTTTGCACAGTATTAGACACATAGTGAGTTGGCACCGAGCGGCAGTTATCCATCTCAGGAAGCAAAAAGGAATAGCTGCAAGGTCCGTGCTGAATCTGATAATGCCTTTTCCCAACACTATCCATACCTTTGCGGAATCCTGCTCCCAGGGAAAGACTGCAGCTCAGGAAAAACAGAGATGGGATCAACATTTCTGTGTCCGTTGAAAATGCAGTGCAGTCTTTTATATGAAGTGCAACCCAAATATGTTTAGAATCTGTCAAGACGTTTCTCAGTGGTTTTGCTTTTATCCTCTGGAATTCTGTGGTTTAAAAATGCCAAGTATAAAGAACTGCGGATTGTCGCTCCTTGATGTTCTGTCAAAACTGAAGTAATATGGTTCTGTATTACTTCCTGCAGTCTTTCAGTCTGTGTTGCACAGACAATGCTGTAAAGCAAACACAATTCCCAACTGGCTTGGTTTCCCAGCTTTGAATGTGCTCTTTCATCTGAAGCCTTGCTGCACGTTTCTCCAAGCTGCTGTATCTGCTTCAATCAGTGCAGCCTTGTATGATAACTTGACAGGAATTGCAGAGAGAGCGAGGGAGCAAGAGTGTTTGTGTGTACCACTCCCCCCAGGGCTGTCAGTTATCTTTCGACAGGGAGGTCACTGGTCAAACAAAACAGATGCAGGAGTATGTTTCTGTCCAGCCCACACTGCCTTAATCAAAAACGCCAGGCAGAGATGATTGACCAATAACAGAGCCACTGGTAATTCCCTTGCAATCCTTTAAGTAGGTGACCTATGAATAGACAGAAGAAATTGCTCTGACTTCCCTGGCACTGTGAGCCACAGTACATCATACAGTTAGAAAGTTAAAATGCACTATCAATGCAATGTGGATTTAAAAAAAAAAGTTTTGCATTGGATTTTTCTTGCAAAAACTAATAACAAAAACACATGTTACTGAGGACGTAAAAGAAAGTCTGTGATACAGTAGTAATGAAATATGAATTGCACTTAATTATTTGCAGATTATAATGCAAAATGGGTTGTGAATTTTAACTTGTGACCATCTCTATGACCTGTTGAAGAAGCGGACGGTTCTGTTCAGAAAATCGCTGTTTATCTTAAACTGGAATGATCAGGTAATGTCACTGCCTGAATTTGAAAAGTTTAATAGCCTTCTGCGTATCACACCGTGAGCAGCTCGAGCAGACAAGTAACGGAAAGGCTATCATGGCAAGTCAGCATGCTTTAAAGAAATAAATCATCCACTTTATACATTATACTAAATATTTCGGAGGAAATAAGTTTTATTTGGGGAGAGGCACAGTTGGGGAACATTCATGAACTGCTCAAGATTTGCTGCTACGGCTTTCAATGTCCTTTCAGCTTTCAGATTATGTCACAGCCCCAAAACTTGTATTTAATTGTTTCTGAAATGCTTAATGCCGAAGAAAGTTTGTAAGATTCAGCAGACAGGCGAACACAAAACCCCCTTTTCATTGGTAAACCTCTGTTCTGTTCCATCAACTATGAGAACGAAAAGTGAGTCTTATTCTTCTTTCCTTTGCCTTTTGTCAATGTTCCTGTCAATTAGGTTTCTGGTTGAAGAATTGAGTTTTGTTTTGAAAAAACATTCCCCCTCGGCTGAAACACTTCAGTTCCGCTGGCTGGATTTTTATACCTTGCGAATTCTTAAAACGGAAAAATTAAAGTGTTTCACTAATTGATCCATTAGCTCTGTGAAAATGTGTTCTTCTGCTTTAAAAGATTGAAGTAATTTTGAAGGCCAATTCATATAAGCCTTTAAACTGTAGATCTTTTGATAGCCTTGCAAATTATTAGATGGGAATTGATTTTTTCTCTGATACATATTAGAAGTTTGATCACAAGAACGCTATTCACCTTAAGTTCAGATGTGTTTTCTGGTCTTTTCTTTTGGTGTAGCAAGTTTGTTTCTAGTGCAATTATTAGTTAAGTGCTCAATTTTTTTTCCCTTCAGGGACATGTCCCTCCAGAGTGGCTGTGACAGTGAGTGTGATTAATTTACACGAAAAGCCAATGAGTTGTGCACTTGAAGTTTGATAGGCCCCACAATCCAAAGAAGAAGGGATTTGTTCTCATAGGTTTTTTAAAAATGCAGTTGCCAGACAGCCTTCCTTGGCAGCCAGGCTAAAATTAATTTTCTTCTCTGGGAAACAGAAAAATTCTATTTGATTTGGCCTAGATAGATAGTCATTTTTATTCTGCGTATATGCCGTCGTGAGAGCAGATTCCTGAACAGTGCACATTATCTATTGAAATACACCATTTGGTATATGAATAAGAATGGTAAACAATGCGATCAATTGAAGGGGGGGAAATTTCAAACAAATCTGCAGAAACTCTAGTTCAGTGAGTGAGCACTAAGCATATGGAACAGGCTCCCTCAAGAGATGGTGGAAGCAGAAAGTGTTGATTCTTTCAAGAACAAATTGGATAGATTTCTGTCAGCAAAATAATTTCTCAGGATACAGTACGTAGTTGGTACTTGACATGTTGCTTGCGACTGCCAGGATGGTGGGATGCGAACTGGATGGACCTTGGTCTCCTTTCCCCTAGCAAATTTTTATCTTATATAGCTTTCATTTGATATTTAACCTTTCTTGTCAGGAGGATGTCTCAAAACTCTTCACAAAATTTTCTGTTGAGTGTAGTGACTGTATATTAATAGGCGAGCCCTCAAGAACTTCCCTTTTGTGACAAATCCAACAGCAGGAAAATATGAAGAGTTCACTTTAACAAACCACAAAGTGGAGACCGTATGAGTCTTTCAATTCTGTGCCTCAGGATGGCAAGGCCACACACCACAGTTTAAGATGGAAAGGATGTGGTTCCTGACTTGCTGATCTCTTTCGGGAAGCTCTGAGCACAATTGCAAGCAGTTCACCAAGTGAGGACTGCTTTAATTCACCTTGTAGCCGGTTACAGGGCAGCACTGATCAAGCAGGTCAACTGTTTGTCTTCTCATCCCCAAGTAGCATGAGGAAACTAGGGAAAGGTGAACAAGAAACTGATCGGGGTGGGAGGGGGCACTTGTAAAAAAAAAAGCTGACTCATTAAATTGTTTCATCATAGTAATAAATAAAAATGCTTACATTTAAATTAGCATCTCATCACATCTTTGAGATACCTCAAAGTGCTTCGCAGGTTTTTTCTGTTAATAATAATAATCTTTGCATTTGATACAGCGTCTTATCACGTTGTTGAGGCATCTCAAAGAACAGGATATATTGTAAAATGTAGTTACTGTATTTTGCGGGCAAAACGGGCATAGTAATGTCCCACAAAAAGCCATTAATTGAGTTTTTTTTTCTGTGGGATTGTTAGCCAGGAGACCAAGAGAAACTCCCTTCTCTTTTCGAATAGTATCATGGGATCCTTAATGCCTACACGAACAAGTACAGATGGCACCTTGGTTTAATTCTCATCCAAGGGACGGAACCTCCAACAAGGCAGTGCTCCTTTTTTAGAAAGAATTTTTTTTAAAAAAATCCCCAAACCCACAGACATCTGTGAGAAAGTGATTAAATCTACAAAGATCTTGTTGTTTTAAGCATTTTCAACCTCACTTTCTTCAGTTCCTTTATGTTATTACTGAATGTTGTTTGAGACATGCTTACGTTTATGTCTATGTGGCTCACTAATGGAGTTGTGGTTCTCTGTCATGAGGCACCTATTGGTATGCGTGTCTGTGTGTCGGCAAATACTCTTCTGAGTAATGAATCCGGCCAAAGCTCTCACAGCAGTTATCAGATACAGTCTGAATACAAAGTGCTTATCGGTATATGTGTCAAGAATTCCCCATGCTGTCCTTTTATGCATCTCTCTAAGTTAAATTCGGTCGTGAATAGCAATGATCAAACATAATGAACAGAGTCTAATGTGACAACTAAGCAGATTTTGTAAAATAATATTCAGTTCTGCATAGGTTAAGTTTTCTGAGACGTGGAACAGTTTTGAATTGTACACTAAGATTAAGAGGTTACGTGTGCATTCCTGTGGTTGAGTTCTGGGTTAGAATCTAGCTCTGACTAATTGACTGAAAGGTCCTGTGTAAAATTAACTTGTGTAGCCTCAACTCTGGGATTTTCATCCACTGCACAATTTGTCAATGTCATTTTGGCCGTAAGGATAGCTGATGTACAAATTGGAAAAATGTCACACTGGAGCACTAGAGGGTGCTCAGCATAGGCTGAAAGTTAAAGCACAGCACATTGTCACGGAGTAACAGAGATCTTTACTCTGTATGTGGCTTGTGTTATACCATGAGCGAGGGTTTTTTGGTGCTAAACTCTTCAAGACATTACCCCGAGTGAAACTGCACTCTATCAATGCAAGATGTTGTGATACAAAGTGCCCAAAATGGAAAAAAATACAATTTTCTAACCTTCACAGGGTAGGCATTAAAGTATAGATGTATATATTTTCCGGAAACAAATAGGTGAACTAAAGTACCTTTATCTATATTCAACTGACCTACAGCAAATGACATGTTAAAGTTGTAAATTGAACACCAGCTCACTATATGTGTATTACTGTACTAACAAATTGACTTTCGGAGAAAGTAAAGGGGTGAAATTTGCAACTCGGTTTCCAAATGGTGCAAATGTATTCCTTAATTAGTGCCAAAGTTACCGTGCCTGTTAGCTGGTCAAGTCTATGGGCTAACTCCAACTTTAATACTTGAACTCCAGAGCTCACTCTAATCTGCCGTTTGTTACAACTACAATTTGCATTTATCTAGCGCTCTGCACGCAGGTTGCATCTTATTTAATAAAGCAGCTATTCATTAAAAAAATTGTGTTTGATATTTGTGTTCTATCCTCCCAACGTGAAAGGCGCTGTGTAAATGTAAATCATTGTGGACTCATTTGTATTTGTAAGTGCAAAAACTAAAGAAAACTTAACTTGGTCGGTTTCCTTTTAGACAGCATTTGAAATGCTGCTTTTGAGACCCAGAAATGGAGCTTTACAGTGGTGATTTCCTCAGAATCATCCATTGTGTTAAGGCTGTCAGTGGTGGGTTTGAGAGAGGGAGACCCAAATAAGGGAAGGAAAAATAGCTAAAGGTGAAATATGAGAGTGAAGTTCTAAATTAAATCATCGCAGAATAACACAAAGCAATTCTATAGCTATTGCTCCATTAGTCAACCTAAAAAAAATGTCATACTGATGGACTTAAATATTGTGCTTACGGTCAGTCATCT